TCAAAACATTGAGCCTAGCCCGAGATTCGAGTCAAAAACTGGTGAGGCTATGATACTTTAGTTCCATGAGGAGACAGAAATTAATTCATAACTCAACAAAAACAGGTCTATTTATCATGAAAAGTTTACTGTAGAGAGAAGAAAAGCTAGACTTTCTAAGGGTGAGTCAAACAACGTTATATCTTTTTCCTAGCTCGAGATAATACAATAGGAAAATATCGTTGATCTTAGCCTCAGACTTCAATCTCGGTAAACGTTTAGAGCCCAAGCTTTAACCTGCAATCTGGACTCATTAAGTCCTTCTTATGGTAGAAGTTTCAAGACAAATAATGCTGGTTTCAATGGTTTTTGCCTGGTAGCGGGACTTTTGTCCACGACTATATTTCGAGTTTCAGATTTTGATTATGCATGAATAGTACTAAGAGATTTTATATTAGCTTTGTAATGATGCGTCGAAATCATGGAACAAAAATTGCTTCATGTCAAAATAGGAATAAATATTGATTGATGTCTAAATTAGGGACCTGAAATGGCTCGGCGTCGATAACAGAGACACATGGCTGTCGTCGAAAATAGAGAAAGTGCTTCTAATAACGACAAACGGAGTTGATCATTGTAGACCTCCAATTTCTTCGTGAAAACATTGAAGAAAAAACCCATTTATATATCATTTGAAAGCGCAGAATATAGGGATTATGGAAATAAAAAATATATTTTATGTCATATATAACATAGCTTTGCATGAACGCAAACAAAATAAGAATTTTTTGCTGTCGATGTTAGGGGCATTCGCTCTATTTAATTCCAATCTGAATTTTGAAAGAAAAGACACTCGATTCCAAAACTAAATGTGGTACAGAGATGGAACCGATCTGGATTTTTTCAGACCGGTACCGGTTTGAAAAAGTAAGACTTGATCGGACCGGTCACTACACCAGTTCGTCGAGTCAACCAACAACTAATCGTTCTACTAGTTGTCGATCGGCCTACCGGTAACGTATGGCACACCGATAATGCCCAGTTAGAAATAAAAGCTTGTTAGCGCAGCTCCTACGAAGCTGAAATTCGGAACACAGGTATACCGTTAGCTTTTTTACTTGGCACATCATCTATATAGAGATTCGACTAGTCAAAATTTTTGACAACTTAAACTCAAGGTGATCTGAAAAGATTAGACAGGTCAGTTTACCGGTTACCGATCGGTCTAATAGTCGTACCAGTACCAGGCCGAACCGACCGGTAGCCGGGATCGGTTTCATTCTTGATGGGAGCTTGGGCGTCTTTAGAATTGTTTGCCATATTATTAGCTGCTGATCCCTCTTTTAAGAAATTTAGGGAGTAGAGGCTCTTGAGGGTCTTTGGAATTATCCATCATATTCATACATATAGACCGTGTTTATTTTAGAGATGGAATGTCTTTTTAAATATTGATCATTCTATTAGATATACACCCCTTTTTTGGAGATGGGAAAACTATAGATTCTGTGGGATCCTTAGAATTATTTATAATATTCTTAGCTACATATCTCCTTTTTCTAGAGATGGGGAGACTAATGGGTCTAGGGCAGTCTTTAGAATTATTCATTGTTATTGTAGCTATTGATACCGTAAAATACTGCGTTCTATGACTATTCAATGATGAATAATTCTAAAGACCCTCGAAAGAGCCGCTAGTTCACCATCTCTAGGAAAATTGTGCTACAGCTATGAATATAATGAATAGTTTAAAGACACTGCCCCTTCTTCATGATCCTCTAGCGCTCACTCTCCCCCCATTCCTAAAATATAGGTGGTCTATAGGTATGAATATGATGTATGATTCTAAGGGTCCCCAATACATATCAGTCCGCCATCTTTAGAAAAAGGGGGCGTATAACTATGACGATGAGGAATAATATTGAAGATGTTCTGTTGGTCAGAGATAATTGACTGAAATAGAAGCAGCTTGTTATTTAGTTTCCTGTCGCTGAGTCCTTTGGCATTTGGATTGATTGCTTTAGTATAGTTTATCGTGTCCCAAGTGAGCAAAAAATAAAAGAAGACGCCCGACATGACTAGTCCAAAGTGTCCACAGCGCCCGTCAAGTCTAGTCTGAAACGTCTTGCACACCCGTCATGACTAGTCACCTTTTGGAGAAATGTCCTTCAAACTCGTCTGGACTAGTCCAGAGTGTCCTTGAATCCAGTCATGTCTAGTCCGTTTTGTCCGTTGACCCCGTCCAGACTAGTAGGAGAACTAAAAAAAGAAGATGCAAGGTGAATTCGAACACTCAACCCGACAGTATTCGAAACCTGACGGGCATCCTGACGGGAGACTAGGACACTGAAATGAACTGACGTCCGTTTATACAGTCTAAAATACAAAATTGATTCCCGTCCATCAGAGATGGGCAAGTCAAGTCAAAAATGACTTAAGTCAAAGTCAAGTCAAGTCATTTTTGACTTGCTTGACTTGACTTGAAAATTTTTTTAATGACTTGCGACTTGACTTTGACTTGACTTGAAAGGTTTTTTTAATGACTTGCGACTTGACGTGACTTGACTTTGATTTTTCATTTTTTGACTTGACTTGACTTGTGACTTGACAAAAAAATACAAGTCAAGTCAGATATTCTTTGCAACTTCAATGCATATTAGATTCTCGTCAGGTTATATTTGACCTGTGCGTATAAAATAAGGTCCTAAACAGACTAGACGAATAAACAATGAATTCTCAATTCATTGTTTATTCGTCTAGTCTGTTTGATCTCACAAAAGAAACTATCTGACATCGACACTCGCAAGTATATAAGCAATAATACGGCTGAGTGTGCATCATACGTGACCTATTGTGTTAAACTGGTTAGATCAATTACAACTTGTATTACAACTGAATTGATTTAATTTTTTTTTCAATAAATTAATACATAACTAAATTATGAAATTTAAAAAAAATTCAAGTCAATGACTTGAGACTTGACTTGACTTGACTTGGTTAGAACACAGACTTGACTTGACTTGACTTGCAATGGCGTATCTCAAATTGATGACTTGACTTGACTTGACTTGACTTGACTTGACTTGACTTAAAGATATTTTTTTTTGAGCAATGACTTGACTTGACTTGACTTGACTCTCTTTGACAAATGACTTGACTTGACTTGAGTGAAAAAATAGCTGACTTGCCCATCTCTGCCGTCCATCCAGTAAACAATCAGAAACCAGTCGATGTCACACGATTTTGACTAGTCTGAAACGTCTTCAATAGTAGTCAGGACTAGACCGAAGCGTCGTCTTCACTCGTCACGACTAGTCCTTTTTTAAAGAGTGTGTCACCCATCGTAGTCCAGACTAGTCTGAAAGACTCTAAACAAGCCACTTTTTTTGGACTAAATATATCCTCTTAATTCGTTTAAACTGATCAATAATGAAAAGTAAAAGAAGTAGAATGCACATAGAAAAAATTTTCAATATGTGTATCATTTGTTAAAAATAATCATTGGATAATCAAATGCATTTAGAACATGGATTAGATTGGAGAATAACAATCATTCTATTGCCTGTCGTGTAGTCAAATCTTCGTAAATTGAGGATTAAGATTGATCGGTTATATTATGACTACGGAAATTACTAACATGCATTATTATTTTATATTAAAATTATGTCGATTGTTACCGACGTTATTAATTTATTTTCTATCTAGAACGACAAAACAAACAGTGAGTCTGCCATAATCAATAATAAGATCAAAGATAGATAGTATACTTTGTACATTTTTGTCTTGATATATCTTATTATATTTTGTATTTCCATATGTTAAGAATGTAAGAGTATATCGAAACATTAAAAAAATAGGAGTAAGTACAAAGAACAATATTTATCTCGTAGCAAGGAACGCTAATTTATATATTTTAAAAGTATTAGACGCACTAATGTTTACATAAAAAACTCAAAAAGTAATTAAAATCTTTTTACATCATTATTTTATTTTATTTCATTTTAAATATAAACTCTAATAATTTTAAATTTAAGAATAAATTTAAATTAAGCAAAGCTTATTTATAACTGTTAGTTGAAGATACGATAGTTTAAATTTAAAATAAACAACTAAACCATCATGTGAAACATCTAGTTTCTTTTCAATATAAATAGTTTTTTATTTTTGCATTTAAAATTTATTTTTTTTAATATAAATAATTACTCCTACTTAATAATAATCAAAATATATTCCACCAAAAAATATAAACTTTTTTGAATTTATTTTGTTTAATGTTATCTAAATAATCTCGTATTCTGTAAAAGATAATTTTTTATTTAAATGCGAACATAAAAATCTTTGAGTAATACTATATTAAATAGCATCTTAGAATGATTATGAACATGTAGAAGTTGATTTGTTGATCATATGGCTCAATGGTCCAAAACGATGGGTAAGTGATACATTGTATGCATGTTCGAATCTAACCTTCATCTTTACACATTTTCATTTAGACTAGTCCGGACTCGTCCACTATATAAGACTACAACTTGTCCTGTGTACCCGTCCCTGGCATCCTTACTTTTTCAATTTTAAATCCATTTCGGACGGGCGTCGCTGTTACCCGTCCTGACTAGTCTTTTTCTCAAAAAGTCCTCCTACAGGACTAGTCCACCTATTAGTGACTCTTTACTAGTCCTAGACGGGTCTTTTTAGCGAAACAGACTAGACTTGTCAGAGCCAATGACGCCCATCAGTTACATAGTCTGGACGGGCACTATGGACGGCAACTTTTCCAGACTAGTCATGTAGTAGTCCGTTGTGAGAAAAAGACTATACCGGACGTGCCGTCAGGACTAGATATGAGACTAGTCTTTTTACCCGTCCTTTGCTCGCCTGGGGTACGCCTGTTTGAGAGTGGTCAGGCATGAGACTCTTCTTCTGCCCACTCACCCTCTCATCACCCCTTGTTTGAGAGAAAATTGGACATCTTTTTCTTTAAAATTCAGTTTGAAATCAAAATGCTCATAGGCTCTATTCGGATGGTAAATTCCATTTTCGCCGAAGACGAATTTCGCGGACAAGAAATTCGCCGAAAATGGAGTTCGCCGAGAAAAAAGTTCCCCGATTCTATTTTCGCCGAAAGAATTTCGTCACCGAAAACAAATATCAGTTGAGCTTAATCATGTATACAATAATTCTACTGAAGTAATTAATCGATCGCATCAAGTCGGTTAAGTCCCACTGAAGATGGCTTCCATGTCGATTAAATTGACTAGCAAGTCAGATGATAACCATCTGAGTTTGCAGCCAATTGACTTGGCAGCCATCTGAGGGTGTGTGGTGTGGGGTGTGGGTGGGTGTGATTGTGGGTGAGTGCGGGTGTGGGGTGTGGGTGGGTGTGATTGTGAGTGAGTGCGGGCGTGGATGTGGGTGTGATTGTGGGTGAGTGCGGGCGTGGATGTGGGTGTGAAGGGTGGGTGTGAATGTTGTTTCTTCTCACACCACCACCCCACACCCACACTCACACTTCATATTCACACCCAACACCCACACCCTCACCAACACCCTCACCCACATCCACACCCACACCCTCACCCACATCCACACCCACACCCTCACCCACCACACCCATACCCTGCCTCATTCTTTGTTTTCTCAAACTAATCTAAGCAATTCTCAACTGTTCACCTCTACCAGATTATAACGATTATACTTGCGCCACAAGTGTTTTTGTGTACAAATTAACACGAATAAATATTCTTCTGCTGGCATCTATTTAACCAATGAACACATTTTATTAGTATGATAACTAACTCAGTGGGCTACCAACTTAATTGGCTACCAACTCAGATAGTTACCATCTGACTTGCTAGTCAATTTAATTGACATAAAAGCCATCTCAAGTAGGATTTAACTGACTTCATATGATCGATTAATTGCCTCAATAGAATTGTTGTATACATGATCAAACTCAACTTAGATTTGTTTTCGGTGACCAAATTCTTTCGGCGAAAATAGAATTGGGGAACTTTTTTTCGGTGAATTTCCTTCGGTAAAATTTTCTTTTCGGCGAAAATGGACTAAATCTACTCGGATTACGTACATAGTTGATCGGCCATTGTTTGATTAACTCGGTGTGCTAGCTGTCTATCTTCCTTAAGCAGACGCGTTGAGGCATGTGCTGCCATATGTGTTGAGTAATGTACATAATATCTGAGTAAAACATGTACTAAAAGCATGTATGAGTTTATTCACTTATGAATTGAAAGCTGGTTTGGTCTCGCCAAATTAGTTGGTCGCAGGAGAAATAGAATCAACATCGACAACATACATTGTCATATATCACGTGGGCCAAAAGTAACATAACAACTGAAGAAAGATTGAGTATCTATATTACGGCTCGATCCAACGGGTGTCACCTTTTTACCAAGAATAGAAGCATGTTTACCCTCCAAATCCTTACGGGCAAAGTTAGTGAGAACCTTTAATAAGTATATGTTTTTCTTTTTCTATCTGTTAAAAATTAAAATATTCTTGGTGAGGTTAATAGTTATACTTAACAAGGATTCTCACTAACCTTGTCCGTCTGATTTGAAGTGTGAACATGCTTCTATCCTTGATAAAAAGATGACCCCGCTGAGTCGAGTCGTAATGGAAATATTCAATCTTTCTTCAGTTATTACGTTACTTTTGACCCGCCTAGCAAGAGCATTCTTTGCTTAATTAATTAAGAATAATACGGAATTTTTCCATTATTGGCGACTTTCCGCTTAATTTTCGCAGATTGACGAAGGACTTAAGGCGTACTGGGGTTGTCCACATGACTCTCATCATTAGGGAAAATTCAGTTGGTGAAGGCTGTACTATGGAACTGTCTGCTACTTAAGCTCTCGATCAAATAAAGCTGCCATTCATAAAGTTAACCCACACGGCACCCTGCATATGCCACACCACACCAAACCCACCCCACACCGTACCCCACCCATCCCACACCACACTCTATCCAACATACACGACAGTGACACCAGTACTCACAACCATAGTTATACCTCATAGTGGAAACTCTTTTTGACCAAAAAAAAGTAATCTTTTACAGATTCGAAGATGCCGGCGAAGAATTCTGACAAGTCTCGTTATTTCGATGTTCCTGATGAACCGATCCAAAAGATGCTGGCTCCTATTGATGGATATCAATCATATGCTCTGGTATCCCTGGATCAGGCCATTGCACCGTTAACTGATCGTGTCAAAGATATAGATGCGCGTGTTTGGGTTGCACTTGAAAACTGTAAAAAATCTGTTGATCAACTTTCTCCAGACGAGTCTGCTGCCATTCATCTTTATACTATGGAATGGACTCCAAGTGACGCAAGTCTTTACGCTGTCTTGAATCGTGCTCTACGTGCTGAAAATAGAAGTTTGCTTCGACCTTGGTTTTTCTATCTCAAGTTACTCTTCAGTGCACTGTATAAAATACCATCAGACCAACGTACATTATGGAGAGGTGTTCGTGCTGATTTAAGTGCTGCTTATCAGAAGGGAAAAAAAATTGCATGGTGGGGCTTTTCATCATGCACTGAGTCTATCCAAGTATTACAATCGGATCAATTTTTAGGTACAACTGGCACTCGCACTCTTTTCTCTATTGAATGTATTCATGCAAAGGCAATTCGCGCTCATTCATACTTCTCGGAAGAAAATGAGTTGCTCCTTCTTCCAGGAACTTATTTAGAAGTTATGGGGCAATTAAATCAAGGCAACGGTCTCACCATTATACATCTCAAACAGATCGAACCTCCTTTCGAGTTGGTGAAGCCCCCATTTCCTATTCAAAAACCGTCTAGCACGAATAGTGTAGTACCTCAAGAAAAAGCGCCCCATCGAGAATTATTCGATTTATCTAACATTAGACAGTTTTCAATCAGCGCATTAAACGAAATCAACAAATATCGACGATGGCATAAAGCCCCTCCGTTAGTATTTAGTGATCTTTTATCAACTGCAGCCGCCAACTTAGCTCAGAGATTTGCTGAAAATGGTTTCATAGAAGGTGAGATGATTTTTACAAGTTGTTTTGCTCAATATCAATCAACAACAACATAATCTGAAATAAACTAAAATCTTAGTTGGGAAAAGGTTCACAGTACATAAAGACATTGCACGTATGCCACTACCAGCGTAAGCAGAAAGTGGCTTGATCGATATCACCAATTTTGCTGATAGTTCTACAGTAGATAGACTTAATAAGTTAGAAAGAAAGTAAAAACTTTCAGCTCAAACAGATGAGTGATTCCGGATAAATAGATGAATATGAGTATATAAAGTACGCCACATTTTGGGATTTTTATACAGCAGTACTTTGCAGTAAACTTTCATTTGCTAAAGAATCGTGGGAGTTGCAATGAACATCTTTGCATCATAAATGCTATTGAAAATGAGCTATCTTTTGATGGCATCAAAGCTGTCATATCCTTGGATAATATCTACTTTGTACTATATATTATATTTTGAAAGTCTATCGTCGGAGATTAGGTATGCACCAGACCGACTGGATCCCCAGTCATGACTGGGTCATCAATCATTTGATCTTTAATTTATTACATGAATAATATCTCCGTCTTTCTTATCAGATTATCATAAACTCATCTTAACCTATTAAAGAGCTAATACGACTCATATCATGGAAATACTTGATTATTAATTCTATGATATAACTCGTATTAGCGCTTTAATAGGTTAAGATGAGTTTATTATAATATTATAAGAAAGAGGGAGATATTATGCATGTAATAAATTAAAGATTAACTGATTGATGACCCAGTCATGACTGGAACTGGTGCATACCTATCGGAGATATGGCAGAATTGCGAGAGCAGCGCCCTAGAATAGATTGAGAATAATCAAAGGAGAAAAAAGCGAAAATGCTGTACTTCAGCGTACTTCACTGTACTCCAAGTTTATAACAAAACAATCATTGAGAAACTTTCAGTAATTTCAAGTTTGCTATCGACCTGTGTTGCGGTACTTTATTTGGATTTCAGCTTGGATATTCCTGCTTGGTAGAAAAGCTCAAATACTTCGGCTGGGGTCAGTTAGTGATTTACAGCTATGTGTTTTGACTTTGATACCTAATAGACATATCCAAGCTGGACTCCATGTAAGCATCGTAACACCGATCGATAATAAAGTTGGAAAAGGTAACATTTTTTCAAGGATATTTTTGGTATAACCTTGAAGTACAGCACTTTCGATTTTTCCCTCTTGGAATAGTCACACTCGAGAGAGCATAAAGAACTACCGAATGATGTTTTGTAAACTTTGTAGTATTAAATTTTACTATAGAAAATTCTTCCAACAATATTTTGCTGCTTTTTCAAAAACAATTCTCTGCTCCAATATGAAGTTTTATGTGGCGCTTTTAATTTTTCTTTACCATAACGTAGCAATTTTGGGAAATTAAGTATATATTTTGAAAGCCCTAAAACTCTCCACAACTCTATAAACAAGTAACGCAAGTCCCTGTGACTTGCTTGATTCACGATTGTATATTCGGCTCATTCGGTGTTACACGTTGCTTTACAGTTCTCGGCAAAGATATTTTTCAACGTTTCAAGAGGGTGGATAGGTATGTACATTAACATTAGTATCAATCTCGTTGTGCACAATGATATGTGGGTTCATGTGATGAGTTTTGTCATAAATTCATCTAATCAAATTGATATCCATAACATTGATGCTCAACGTAAATCTATAAAAATCTACACTACGGCAGTTAGGTCGCACGCATCCGAAAACAAGATATTATATTCGATTTTTTCAGAGATCACATAGCAAGGAAGTTTGCAACAGTTATGTGAAAGTACGCCGTAATCTTTGAGAATTCCACTAGAAATTCAAACGCTGACTAGCACATCTGGCAATAATGATGCTTACTACAAAGTTCGCTAGGAAATTAAGAGTTCAGCTGAAACCCTACCTGAAAATAAATCATATTATATATGGTCTATAATAGGAATACCATACTTGAAAGAAGCTCCTATTCACAGTGATGATCAGACTAGGTGAGTACTATAATTATATCAGTATACATTCAAATACTTGAATGGACACAGACAAGAACATATAACAGAAGTACAACTCGTTTGTTTCATTCATATGTACTTCCAATACGGCAAGTATAAATTTTTTTAAGTAATGCTTTATGTCTGATAAACTATTAAGATATTCCGTTCATCCATAAAAATATTTTTTCATACTTAATATTTTTCAACGTTTTTTCACTGCTATTCGTTATTCAAACTTACTAGATCTGAATGATTAACATTTATCGAGGGGGAAGGAGCGGAAATGCCTTACTTCTTCGTATTTTCTGTACTTCCAGACTATATCATAACTGTGCATCAGATTCCTTTAGCTATTTCAAGTATACTATCGACCTTTCTTACGATATATTAGCTGGAGTCCAGTCTATGTAAGTCCATCTGACACAAAAATCTTAATACTTCATGATACTTCCATTGGAAGTATCATGAAGCATTTGGGCTTTAGGATGGGGTTGACTTAAGTAAGATGGATTGCGACTAATATATCGTAGCACAGATCAATAGTACACTTGAAATAGGCAAAGAGATCTGATACACAATTACAACATACTCCGGATGTATAGGAAGTACGAGGAAGTATGGCATTTTCGATCCTTCTCCCCTGACGTTTACTGAATGAATTCTAATAATCTGAAGCGACTTATCACGAATTTTTTCAGTTCAGCGTCTACACTCTAAAACAAAGGACTTCTACCGAAGCGAAAATGGTTCATTCCACTGGTACATGGAAAGATCTTTTTTTGGTTTCGTAATAAAGGCTTTGTACTAAAACTATTGCCTCATCCTAAAGAAATGCCTTCGAAATCTAAATCCCATACAGAACCATTTCAGTAGTTACTGAAAAAAGTTCCGGATATTTGCCTTTCAGTTAAACATGTACTAACGCCTACTCTGAAAGAAAAAAGGCGTTAGTGCCACCTCATCGGGGCTGAAATGTGCAACTCACTTATATACTTCAGCTTCATTATACTAATATGCAATACAGATAGTATAAAATTACGACGTTGTTAGTTTTCTGACAGGCGTCCATATTTTTCATCTTTTTTGTTGCCATTCGCTCAGTATTTTTCATTTTTAATAATGCTTGTTACTTAAGCTTTACCCTTTTATTATAAGAAGCATTGAATAATATGGCAAATGAAGGTATTATACATATGTGTATATGCATATTCATTATTTTGAACATAGTCGCTAAGATCTGTTATGTTCTTCATAGTTGATATAGCCGGTAATGGGAGCCTGTCTGTGATGAGCGAGGAGGGGGGGATGTATGCAGAGGTGCAGAATCTTCAAAAAAATAAAAAGTTTCACCCCCCGCGGAAATTTTCTCCAAAAATTTCCCTAAGCTGTTTTTTCTTCGCCGCTCACAGACCAACTTTATTTGTCGCAAAATATAAGTAAAAAAAACACGGCAATATTTTGTTCTGTTTGTTACTGTTCGTACAACATACGAATTCTTTCTACTTGTTCTTTTCTTAAACGGTTCAAAACAACTGAACCAGGCGAAACTAATTTGAATAGACGATGTTGTTCTGTTTTTTTTAAGAAAATCCAATATTTGTCCTTCAGTAAAAAGAAGTAGTTCTTGAGGCAGGACTAAAAAACCAACACAACATATAGGGAAAGAACTAGCATATAATGGAATTATCCATGTTGGACAAATTGTTAACATTCCTTCTTTCGGCCACGATACAGTTCAGCAAGCGATACAAGGGTGCAAAGAAATCTGCGGAAAAAGAATTGCCAAGATGTTATACTTCGATAGCAATGTGTGTTCTTGGCAAGATCAAGAGCAGAGCATACACGTAAAGCGAAAAACTCGAAAGAAGAAATGATATCTTGTAACAGTTAATTATGACGAGGCCAAAGTTTTCCCATCTAATAATTTTTCAAAATTTTCCCACTCTGGGAATTTTCCAAAATTTCTCCGAATAATGCAATTTTTCAAAAAAGTTTCTCTCCCGCACGGGGGCACACGAGGAAGATTCTGCACCTCTGGGGGTATGTCTGTAATATTCTCTTGCATTGCTATGGTCTGTAAGCGTAGGAAGAGAAGTCATGAAACTTTGCATTGAAAACTTACACCCACCACATTCTTCAAAGTTATACGTGAGTTCCACAAAAGGAGTTTTGCACAACTATTTCTGGTTCAACAGCGTGTTCAGAACCAAATTATAATTTTGTATGATAGCGCTTAACCCTGAACGATTCTGACCACCTATATGGAACCCTTATAAGGTTGTGTCAGTTCTGCAGAACTCTTCACGGTTTTTCAGTCAAAATAGGAAATAATAAAAGGATTTGACAGAGAAAGGACCACGCACGGTAAGAGGCGAAATCTGCTCCCCCCCTCAAGATGATATTTTTATATTATTATTTTATACCTTGGCCCTTGCCTCATATATTCATTTCAATTTTTCCAAATAAACTCTTACTTTTGGAGATATACCTACATCTTTATGACCAGGTAAAGAGGTAAAATATTGAATTATTTGGACCCTTGAAGTACATTTCTCTCTCCCATAAAAAAATTTTTTTAAAATTCTAATTACATATTTAGAATCAGCATTAAAAGGTCTATCGTTCTGTATAATTTTTGTTTTTCCAAATTTCTTGATGTTCAAAAGGAAATCCAAACAAAGTTATTCAAGCATATATACATTGAACATGTACGAGATCTTAGAAATGCATTATCTCAAAAACAAAAAAATAACCCCTCGCTGAAACTTTCACAAAAACTTACTTATGTACTAAGCTTTCTTTTAATACCATCATAATTTTAAAATCTAGAGTCCAAACACCCACTTTAAACTTAACCACTCTCAAATGTCACCGTATTGTATACAAATCCGGCTCGTATTTGGCAATTTTAATCATAAATAATTCATTTTCAAACAAAATACACATGATATTCGGAATCAGCATCAAAATCCGATTAGAATGACATGGGCTTTATTAAAAAACATTTTTCGTCAAAATTACTCCCTGGGGGATCCACAA